CAACTACCAGCTCACTGGCCCACTCAACAGACGGCGAATCGACGGATTGGCTTCTCGTGTCGTCTTATCATTCGATAGACAGGACTTCGATCTCGAAGCACAGGGTAGAGTCGGGCATGATTCCCCACGCCGGGAAGCTGGACGGGCCGAGACGGTTCCCACAAGTAGCACAGGCGTCGGCCAGCAGCAGCAGCAGCAGCAGCAGCAGCAGCACGAGTGGGGGGTGGGGCGCTCTTAGGTTTCGCATGCCTTGACGTTGTCTAGACCATTTGACCACGCGTCCTCGAGAGGACTGATAAATCATCCCCACAGGACCAATCGCCGATGTCCAATCGTTCCTTCCTACTCGCTGCGGGAGGGGGGGGTTACCAATTTGCCATGACGTTGGCGGGAACAAGAAACCACAAAGACAAGAAGCATGCTTCACTGTGTGTAACAGGCGTGGGGCTAGTGAGACTCGAACTAGCCAGCCCTGCCACCACGAAAAAAAATGACTTTCGCTGTCGTCAGAAAAACTCGCATGTAAAGGCCCGCTACAAAGACAAATTCGGTTCAAAACAAAACAGGGACAATTTTGCCGGAAAACAAAGGGCCCCGCTCAGCGGTGCAATAACTACACATGCGTCTATCTGCTTTTCCGTACGTGGTAGTCTGTACTCGAAGGAGGGCCACGAAAACTACCGGTAACCTCCCCCCGCAAATCATGTTTCTTGATAGCGGGCCCGTACTCCCGTACAAATGTAGCGCCAGCACTCGAGTTTTGGCCGACGCTTGGGTTCTTAGGTGCTAGGGTCATGCTATGAATGGTCGCTATATAGGCGTTAGTATAGGGGTTCTAACCGGGGCTGGGCTTCTTGGTTCCTAGCGGTTAGGCTACAAAGGGCCGCTATATATGGTTTTTGACCGGGCTCACAAATGGCGCTCAAGATACACACTAATATTTGTTGCTATGAGCATGAAGGTCTTACATAGGTGTCAAGTTTGCTCTGTACTTTAGGCACGCAGGCTCCTTCTCTCTCTCTCTCTCTCTCTCTCTCTCTCTCTCTCTCTCTCTCTCTCTCTCTCTCTCATCCGGCCAAAACCTTGTGCGAAGGAAAAAGGAAGATGTCCTTTCACGTTTCGCTGACCAACAATTTTACTCATCTGTACACACGGCACAAGCGACGCACAAGCGACCACAACAACAACCAAAAATCACGGAAATTTCTCGTCTTCTCAACACAGGGCGGGTCATTGCCCGTTGGGCTGCACTGTCAACACCAACCAACCCCCGTGGGACACCCGAAGCGCAGGCAGACAAACAAGCCAACACTGCTGCTCTGGTTCCAACCAACAACATGGTGCGGCTTTGTTGGTACAGCAGTGGGGAGCCCTCAATAACTCACGGCGTGTGCCCGGCGCATCGACCTGCGCTAGTTGTTATTCAACGTACGTATGTACAGAAAATGATTTTTGCGATTTCAGTCTGTGCCCCGCAATTTCACCGGCGATGTTATTCAATCGGCATCGTCATGGAGCCCCCCCCACTGTAAACAGCAACACAGGATGACTCAGGGAATTCAGTTTGTACCCAGCGGCAATTCCACCGGCAACCGGCATCGTTGTTGAGCCCCCCCCCCCCCCCCGGAAAAAAACAAACCACGGGGAAAAACTGAAATTAAGGAAAAAATCATAATGG